TGCCCCGCGGGCGGGCGCGTCCCGCTCTGTCGGTCTGCCGGGCCCCCCTCTCTGCCACGGCACGGGCAGCCTCTGGTGAGGCCTCCTGCTTCAGCCGCCGCCTTTACCTTCGGCTTCGTGCTCGGCGTTGGCCGGTTTTCCTCCGCCTGCCTCAAAGGCAGGTGGTTATTTTAAGGATGGAAGCCAAGTGCCAAAATGCTAAAACGACTTGAAAGAAATGCAGAGCTTTACAGTTGGTATTTCCTCTAACACACTACTTATTTATATGTCAAATCGTAAGAGAATAGAATAGAACTTATTCACACATGGATAATATTTTCTGCTGGATAATGTAATACCAGTAGTCATATGGGCAATGGCAAAAGAAACCCCCGGATTAATGCTTGGGGCAGAAGAAGAGCCCTGTCAGCTCAGGCTGAAGATGCATCTGAGGCAGTGTCTCTGCGTCCTGTGTTCTTTATGGAAAAACATGTTCTTTTTTTGAAGCTTAGGTAACGCAATCTAGAGTCAAAGATCCATATTTTCACTTGTTACAAAATGGCTAGTTTATGGACAAAAGTATAGTGGAAGCAAGATTATTTTTGTACTTCATATATTTGGGCATTGCGCTTAATAAATCACACTTGCTGAAGAGCAAACGCAGTGTTTTTGATGGCAAAAGAAAAATAAATGTGGGTTTTTTCCCATAGTGCTGTATAGTCAAGAAGAAACCACATAGTTTTCTTGAATTGTCTTTGTTTTGCAAGAGAAAGTGGACTCTGAAGAGGTAAGCAGGGAACTGAGAGGGCTGTTCCAGATGCAGGTGCAGATCCGCTAGGCTGAAGCTCCCACAGCCCCTTGGCAAATGCAGAGTTTTCTTCTCACCAAACTCATCTTGGTTTTCAGCCTAATTTAATGGCTTGGGCCACTTTTGTCTCTCCCTGTGCGCCAGTGCTTTGAACTGGAAGGTGGTTCACAAGCAGTCCAGATCTGCATTTTTTAGTTGGCCAACTCTAAACCAGGACCTGGAATCTCCTGTAATGAGTTGAACCATAAAAGGGTCACTATAATGGACTGGATAATGTAACCAATTATGATTTCAGTAAATCCCGTAATCCTAAACCAGCGTATTGAACCCTCTTGCCAGTTCTCTCACCTGAGGAAGGGCTTATACTGTCCACTGTTAAGGGCTCAGACCTCGTGGTCTGAAGCCATGTATTTTGCATACAGACTCCTTGGTCCGAAACACAGAAAGCAGGGAAGCTGAAATACAGTCCATGATCTGTGGGTTTTGTTTCTTCAGTGCCCTTTTCATTTGATTTTAGGATCAGCATTATTACGTTTTCTGCTGAAAAATCGCAGAGATTTGTAACATGAGCTAGTGGTTTACTAATTTGCCATAGAGATTGAAAATTTTTATCCTGGACATTTTTGTTGTTCCCAAGAAAGATGAATTGAAATCCGTCGTAGGTGATGCCCGGTAACCAGTTTCACATTTAATGATCAAGAACCTGTATTACAAAGAAAAAACCCTTTTTTGTGTGTTTGCTTGACACAGCTATTTGTCAAAGTTTGCAGTTACATAGATGCAGGGTCTGATGGGATGAGATATGTAATTCAGTGGACAAGACAATGCTACTTTGCAGTTTCTTAGTTCAACTAAAAATTCTTCATTCAATTTCAAAATTGGTTTACAAAAATAATTACAAACTCAATCTATTTTTCTACTATCCAGAAATCATTGCAAGCCCCAGGCAGGCAGAAGAGCAAAGTGCCAGGACCTTAAGGAGATCAGAGCCATCTGGGTTTCTTTACCTGATTCCCTGTGAGGATTCACAGGGACTTGTGAGCTGAGTTTCAGCACAGAGCCCAAACAGAGCTCTGCTCTCTCCTACACCCTGGGGGAACATGCTACAGAGAAACATGCTTCTCTCTTCTCTTACCCCCTGGCTATTTGGGGGCTGCCCCATTGCCTCATCTGAGAGGGCTCTTATTAACTCTGAGCTAATAACTGAGCTGGATGTGGTGGTGTTTGTAGCCATCCGAACGCATCTGCCTTGTGTGCTGGCACATGGCAGAGTTCCTGGGGATCCAGCTAATGGCTGAGCTGGACCTGCTCGAGCTGGACCTGCATGGCACAGAGGGGGCTGGATCGGAGGAGGTACCGGAAGGAACCGGCTGGGATTTGTATAATGCTGAGTCTTACCACAGTGGCCAGGATATGATGCCCCCGGGTAATCGAAAGTAGATCTTGCTTCATTTTCCTCTTTTCTCCCAGAAGAACCGTTGTACAGCACCGTGCGTCTCAGAAACGTGCTTCGTATGTAACTCTCAGTTCCTTAAGGGGTTTTGGTTGGTTTGTTTGTTTGGTTTTTACCTCTTGTTTACAGCTACGCTAGGGGCTGTGTTTGGCTTAACTACCTGTCTCAGTGCCCAAGTCCGAGAGGAACCAGATGATCCCTTGAACTATTTCATAGGAGGCTGTGCAACGGGAGCTGTCTTAGGTGCAAGAGGTAAATGTGGATAATGCCTGTAATAAAATGAGCCCTCTCTGTTTTTAGAAACCTTTCTGTTAGGGAAAAGTGTAAAAATAATCTTGATGTCAGACTTATTTGGTAAAGATTCATCTCAGGATCTGAACTCAATTTCATGCCAGTTTTGTTGACGCTCCATTGTAGAGGTCTGCTAAAAGAAATACTGCTACAGGAGAACGCCAGAGATAACATCAAGCTGATTTACAGAATGAAAACAGAGCTGACCCAGTACTGCCAATTATAACTACCAGTTATAACTTGAAATTGCAGGGTATCAAAACTGTAATTGTGGAAATCCATGTTTTCTTGGCAACAAATGGGATTTATTTTACACAGAATGTATTATCTAACATCTGCCGCCTTCATGCAGTCTGAGGGACAAGCGGTATCTTACTGCTTTTGCTCCCATGGCGTCTTGTCAGGCTAGATTAGCACCTACAGAGATTTATACAGTCTGGTTTTTGTAAGCATTCAGACTCAGTATTAAAGATGAGAGGGGTATATTTAAGTTATAGTTGTGGTGAAATAGAATTTATCTTTACTTTTCCTAGTTGCTGAGCTGATCAGAGTTCGAAGCAGTGATTGTTATTTTTGTCACTGAAATAAGCAATTTGAGATTGCCTATGTAAGGAGATGGGGTAGTGGATTATAGAAATTGATATTTCAAATTGCAAGCTAATAGCATGAGAAAATTAAAAAAGAAGTCACTTTTCTGATTTCTCTTGGCAAACAACGTTACTGATGGTCAAGAGACTGTGAGTAACTCTTGGAAAAATTGCTGTCAAGTCTGTCGAGATCGACTGCTGGAGTCTGTCGAGATCTACTGTATAGTACTTGTGCCCTAATATGTTTTTTTATGGTTTGATGTGTTTTTTCAGCTCACAGTTACATGACTGGGACCACTGCATGTTTGGGGTTTGGAATTACTGCTGCTCTCGTGAAGATCGGTAAAAAGGAGGGCTGGAGGCTGACGGGACCTCCCAAGCTGTAAATGTGGCCTTTCTTCCCTGCGAGCTATCTTTTGAATGCTGTATGTAATAAGCTGTTGTGTAATAAAGATACTGTCAAATCAACAATCGTTACAAAATTTTGGTGGTGTCTGGCTGTTTACAGTGTTGGGACTGCAAAAAAAGGTGGAGCTGTTGGAGAGGAAGCTTCATCTGCAGCTCCTGCTTGGGTTTCTGTGCAAAAGACACTTTATCTCCATGTCTCTGTATTGCGCACACAAGCTTGAGGGGTACAATTACCATTTTCAGTCTGGTCTTTTAGGAGTTGTTTTTGTAGTTTCGAGTGGGTACTGCAGGATTTTTTGGCAAGGATTGGGATTGCACTGCACTGAGATCATCTGTAAGGGTTTGCGGTCAAAACTTCTGAAGGGGCGCTTGGCTCTTGGTTGAGGATGAGAAAGGTGGGGTAGAGGAAGGAGGTATTGATTGCCCACAATGTGTTCTGGGAGCCCAGGGGCTTGCTCTGATAAGCATTTAAGGAAGTCTAGAGGCCACAACATCAGGGTTAGTATTGGGGAATAGCTGAGGTTGGAAGGGACCTCTGGAGATCTTCCTGGTCAAAGTTTGAGCAGGTTGCTCGGGGCTGTATCCAGTTGAATTTTTCTATGTGCAAACTGAGGCATGTCCAGCAAAGTCACCAAGGTGTAGAGGGTTGAGGCACAGGGTGCACGAGGAGAGGTGAGGAGATCTGAGTCATTCAGCCTGGAGAAAAGAAGGTCGAGGGCCGATCTAATACCATTTTTTCACAGCTGAACGGTTACAGAAAAGGCAGGCTCAGGTAAAGCATCAGAAATAACAAGCACAAGTTGCAGAAAGGGAAATTCTAACTAGATGGAAAAATCTCACGGTTGGGGTAGATGAGTGCTGAAAAATGGACTTGGAAAGGCTGTGAAATCATCTTTGGGCACACAGAATTCAACCAGAGATGTGGGAATACAAGGGTACAGGGACAGGACATGTGGAGACAGGGATGTGAGTGGAGACAGGGAATATGGGCACTCGGGGAAGCAGGGATGTGGGGTAGGGGAACACAGTGGGAGGGGAGGGGACAGGAGATAGGAGAGCAGGAGGCAAGGAGACTGGGGGACCCAAGGGCAGCAGAGGAGGGGACAGAGTGACACTGGGACACATGGTCACAGCCATGGTAGGCTGTGCTGCTCCCTGGGATGTGCTCTCTGGGGGGAGGGGGGGTGGTGTGGTGCAGGAGGGTCCTAGGGGTGCTTGGGGCTGGGCAAAGGAGCTGGTGTCCCCATGTGCTCCCTGGCACCAGGACTGGGGGACACCTGGCTCTTCAGTGTGGGGGTCAATGGGGCTGGGCTTCAGTTCAGGAGCACAACGGGGGGTGGTGGAGGTGTCACCCCCATAGGGCTGGGGGAGCAGGGGGGTTGTTCCTCTCCCACCCAAGGACTTCTGGGGTGGACCCTGCTTCACTCTGGGCTCTGGAGGTGAGCAAGGTTTAGGTGGGGGTCTGATGGGTCAAAGACCCTCCACAGGACCTGCCCAGGGTAATCTGGGGTTTACAGCCCTGCCTGCACGTTCCCGCTGCCTGGGAAGGGAAAAAACTCACGGCAGCTTCCATGCACCCTGCTGCCTGTCCTCAGGGAACCTGGGTGTCCCCACCACCCCACCCTCAGACGTCCCTCCGCCTGAGCCTCTCCTAGCTCCTGGCCACAGCCACGTGTCCTGTCTGGGCTATAATTACCCAGGCACATTCCTGGGGGGTCACAGGAACTTTCCCGGAGCGGTGGCAGGCGGTAAGGGGGGACTAGTGCATGGTATGGCACAGCGTGGCACGCCGCACGCACGGCACGCCATGCGGCAATGCAGGACGTGGCATACGGCAAGCACCACGCTGGGCTGCAAAGCGCACGGCCTGAGCGAGGACCCGCGACACCGTGCAAACACAGCAAGCAACGCGTGAGGTGCCGCTCATGACGGGGCAGGGGGGGTGACAGCATGCAGCGCACCGCAGTCGGACACAGCATGCCACGTCAGGATCAGCACACCCCAACAGCAAGTGGTGCGAGAGGGAGCACGATGGGCAATGTCACACGCAACTCACGGTGCAATGCATCACGACATGCGATAGGCAGCGCAACACGCGACAGGCAGCGCGCAGCACAAGCTGCCATGCACCAAACGGGTGGGACAAGTGGCTTTGCCAGGGAGCTGTGCTGGGGGCCAGCAGCTTTGCCGCTGTTGGGGCACCAGTAGTTTTGACTATGGGGCAGTGGTTGGGGAAGGGCTTGGTGGCTTCTGCTGTAGGACGGAGGGTCTGATCAGGGACAGTGGACTGAGCTAATGGGGCTGTGGGTCAGCAGCGTTGGCAGTGGGTCAGTAGCTTCATCCTGAGGATCAGTGATGAGGTGTGGGTGAGGGACATCAGCCTTAGCTATGGGGCAGTGACGTGGCCCGTTCATCTCACCTATGGGGCTGCAGTTTTACCAAGGGGCATCAAATTCAGTTATGGGGCAGTGGCAGAGCCTGGTGGCCTCAGCTATGGGGTAGAGGCTGTGGCGATAGATCCAGTGGCTTTGACTACAGGCCAGTGCCAGTAGCAGGACCCCAAGTCCCA